ACCCAGGTACATGCCCTTGACCAGAATCGAACCCAGGACCTTTCAGTCCTAAGGCCGACGCTCTATCCACTGAGCCAAACTGGTTTTGGCACCTTTTTTATTTTCTTCTTTGGGACATCGGGTGCAAAGCATTGAACATGGTTAATACTCCTCACACAATGAACTTTATAAATAAACGTTTCTTTTGCATTTATGGAATCAATTAAGTCTGAAATGGAATCACTTAAAACTTTCTGGCTATAACTTACAACGTGATTTTGGGAGGCACTCTATGAGATTTAGTGAATGAGGACACCCGAAGGGTCTTTGGAAAAATTCCTTGTTGATGTCAAGGGCCTCCTGGGTAGATCTCCTTATGCACATTTATATTTCCACAGATTCTAAAAAAGGGCAGACAGCTATTCTGGGTGAAGGAGCACAGCCCTGCTCTTTCCAGTCCTTGGCCAACACACTGACTCAGGGATTCCCACACAAGCAGTGCAGCTGCCAGAGAAGGCCGGGAAGTACGGGGGTTCTTTTCACTCTTTCGCTCTGAAGAGTACCAGTTGGCCGTGAAAGGAAGGCCTCTGGTTTTGGGGCACATTTTTAACCAGAAGGCTGTAAGTCCTCCAGAGACATTCTTTGTAATGTCGATGTAAAAACTTGTCCAAACCTGTAGATAATTTTTCTGAGTTTATTTGAGCCAAAATGATGACAATTTCTGGGAAGCCAGAGGTTTAATCTCTCTCAAAGGGCAGTTTCTGCACTGGCTGACAATGAGTTGAGAAAATGCTCCAGAGAATGGCAATTTTGTAGCTTATTGTATGCCTTAGAATCAAAGGGGGAGACAGAAGAGGTTTAAGATAATATACAGGCTCACTGAAAGGTAGAGATAGATTTTTGACAAGGAAGCTACAGGCCTAGGACATGTCTAGAGTCATGACCCACTTTTAGTTCGGCATTTTTATGTTCAGATCATCCTATGTGGTTACATTCAATCTCTGAATTTATAAGGTCCACCATACAGGTGTCTCCTGAGCTTGTCAGGCTTAGTATGTGGCTTTTTTGTTGTTGTTGTCTACATTAACAGTCTACCCCAGTTGTTTCCTACTGGTAGGATGACAATATTTTGATCTGAGTATATCTGTGTGTGAGATTTCATATATACATATTATTTCTTTCTATCTATCTATCTATCTATCTATCATCTATCTAAAAGGTTAAGCGACCGTCTGACTGGTAGCTACCCTGTTTCCCTGAAAATAAGACAATGTCTTATATTAATTTTTGCTCCCAAAGATGCGCTAGGTCTTATTTTCAGGGGATGTCTTATTTTTTCATGAAGAAGAATACGGTACACATTTATTGTTAAATGAAAATAAAGGAAATTTATTACCTGTATACGGTACGGTAGTACGGTAGTTGTCAACACAAACCAGACAAACTGAATCCTACAGTATCAAGAATTTACTCATTTATTCAATGACAACCATGTCATCATCTTCTGGAACATCATCATAACAATCCAATTCCTGAATCTCCTGGTGAATTTCTTGTGACTCCATTTCTTTCAGAATCAGTGGACCAAATTTCTCATGTTTAGCCTAGGGGGGGCCTTATTTTCGGGGGATGCCTTATATTTCACTCAGAAGAAAACCTGTAAGTAGGTCTTATTTTCGGAGGATGTCTTATTTTCGGGGAAACACGGTATTATGTACAATGATCACCAGACTCTGTATTATGTACAATGATCACCAGGGGCAGATGCTCCAACCAGTAGCTATGTCGCTCACTGACCACCAGGGGGCAGCTGCTTAATACAGGAGCTGCCAGGTTATGGTGATTTGGCAGCAGCAACTCTTGGGTAATGATGCACCTGGAACCAGAGAGGAGGGAGCACGATTCTGGGGTGGGTCACCTGAGAACCACTCTCTTGCAATTGGGGACCTTTTGGGGGATGTTGGACAGCCAATTTTGGCCAATTTCCTACAGACCAGGCCGAGGGACCCCACCTGCGCTGCCGGAGGGACCTTGCTCATTCTGCAGACGACCTTCAAGCCTTGGCCACCCCAGGTGCGGCCGGTTGGAGGGACCGCGGGAGGTTGGCTCCAGAGTGTGTCTGGCCCATCTCGCCCAGTCCCACCCTGCCGGCCACTTTCTAATTAATTTCCTTTCAATATGCATAAATCCGTGCACTGGGGCACGGGGTGTGTGTGTGTGTGTGTGTGTGTGTGTGTGTGAATTAAAAGCCTTAGTGACTGTTATGGCATAACAACCAAATGACTGGTCGCTATGATGAGCAATGACCACCAGGGGGAAGAGGCTCAATGCGGGAGCTCCCACAGGGGGAGCACCGCTCAGCCAGAAGCAGGGCTCACAGCTGGCTAGCACAGTGGTGGTGGCAGGAGCCTCTCCTGCCTCCACAGCAGCACTAAGAAGCAGCGAGCTAAGTGGTAAGGAGCGAGGGGTCCTGGATATCCCTTGAATGCTCCTGGACTGCGAGAGGGTTCAGGCAGGGTTGAGGGGCCCTCCCCCACCCTCCCACAGTGCATGGATTTCATGCACTGGGACTCTAGTACATATGTCTTATCTAATAAAGAGGGAATATGCAAATTGACTGTCACACCATCACAAAAGCTGGCGGTGCCCCACAGTAGAGGTGGAGTTTCCATAACACAAGATAGCTACGCCCACAGCAGAGGCGGGGTGTCCATAACACAAGATGGCTGCACCCACAGCAGAGGCCGAGTTCCCCTAATGAGCCTTAAGCAGCATTCAGCAGGGACCTGAGGTTGCGTGGAGTTAGGCCGGGGCAGGGGACCTGAGCCTGTGCCCCCCACCCAGAGGGGCTTGATGGGGGATCTCAGGCCATATCCCCTCTTGGTGGGACTTGATGGGGGTGAGGCTGGCCAGGACTAGATCTCACCCAATGGGGGTGGGGCTAGCTGGGTTTGGGTTTTGCATGATTTTGAGGCTCCACAGGTGGGCGGGGACTTGATTCTGGGTCCTGTAGCCCGCCCCAGACTCTGACAAGAGGAAGATTTTCACATGGATTTTCTGATACTCTCTATTACTGATACTCTCTGATACTTCTATTATAGAGAAAGGGCAAATAGCATTATTAAAATATTTCCTCTAATCCCTTTTTAATGTGCACAAATTTTGTGATATATCGAGATATATATATATATATATATATATATATATATATATATATATATATATATATATATATATATATTTTTTTTAGAAGCTTGGTGCATGAATTTGTGCATGGGTGGGGTCTGGCCAGCCTGACCAGGGGGAGGGGACATGGGTGGACTGCCTGCTGGTTGAACTCCTGGTTGAGGGGATAATTTGCATATTAGCCTTTTATTATATAGGATATACACTGAGTGGCCAGATTACTATTCATTCAGAGATCATAATAATCTGCCACTCAGTGTGTGTATGTTTGTGTGTGTGTATCAACACATTTTAAAAAAATGTTTATTGATTATAGAGAGGAAGGAAGGGGAGAGATAGAGAGAAATATTAACTGCATGTCCTGACTGGGAATTGAACTGGTGACCTCTTGGTTCATGGGTTAATGCTCAACCACTGAGCTATTTCATATAAGAATGTATTTCATCAGCTAGGCTGATTTCATATTTTTAAATCTTATTTTTATTTATTTTCAACTAGAGCTGACACTCATTACTGTTTTATATTTGCTTTGGGCATACAGCATAGTGGTTAGACATTTATATAATTTACAAAGTGATCCTCCTTGAGGTATGTGTGTGATGAATGGATCAGTCTTTTTCATTGTTGCCAGTCTGATTAGTCATGTTTCCAAGGTGGTGAATTGTGCTGAGAAATTCAGGTGTGGGAGCAGAAGGTAAACAGGAGTGGGAAGGAAAGCATGACAGGAAGCAGCACCTGTGAGCACCCAGATGTTGGAGATAAGATGAAGCAGGGTGCTCCTGTTCTCAGGGAGCAGGCACAGACAGGTATGAAAGTCAGAGCGTGACAGTGATTGTCTGAGAAGACAGGCAAAAACAAAATGTCGCAATCACTACCCATGCGCTCACCTGTTGCTAGAGCCTAAATTAGCTAGAATGATAGAGCAGGTCCTTTACTGTAGATGCCAAGGAAGAAGGCGGACAGACACACACCGAGTCTTGGTGAAACTGAATGGGTCAGGTATCTTTGCCGTCCAGGGAATATATTTCAGTAAAATACCTAAAATGGTGGGCTTGAAGTTGTGAAATGTCTGGAAAGTTTGGAAACCAGGAGAAAAGAGGAAATTGGGGAGGAGGGAATGTAATTCTCATTTTTCTAGCTCCTTTTATAGATATACAGTTGTATTGTTAACAACAGAGAATTTTATTTCCTCATAACGTGATCGTGTATGGTGCTTAAGTTGACAATGGAACTTGTTAGTACAATGTGAATCACCCTTAACTGAACCAATTTTTAAAATGCTTTGACATGTGTGGTTGATAGATGTGACAGTCCCCAACATCGTGCCTGATACCAGTTGATATTCATTAAATGACTTTTAATTCTGAATCAGAAACCTGAAAACAAAAGCAAGATGAAACTAAGAGATTGCTCAGATTAACTAGACGAAACTGAGGTCAGGTATGCATTGTGCGTGACTGGGGCCCTGAGACACATTACCCTCATGGCAAAGCTATCGGTTGACTTGAAAGTCCACGGCAGAGGGGAAGGAGTATACAAAGTAGTGTTGCCTTAAGACTATAGAGACAGCCGAAACAGGTTTGGCTCAGTGGATAGAGCGTTGGCCTGTGGACTGAAAGGTCCCGGGTTCGATTCTGGTCAAGGGCTTGTACCTTGGTTGTGAGCACATCCCCAGTGGGGGGTGTGCAAGAGGCAGCTGATCGGTGATTCTCTCATCGATGTTTCTCTCTATCCCTCTCTCTTCCTCTCTGTAAAAAATCAATAAAATATATTAAGAAAAAAAAAAAGACTATAGAGATATCTGTTTTCCCTGACATTTATATCCCTTTCAGGTGTAGGTGGGACCCAGGATGGCAGCTGCTCAGGATTTGCAGATGGAGGACATGGAAGAAGAGATGGAGGAAGAAAAGAAAATGAGAGAAGATGGGGAAAGTAAAGATCCCTTCAAGAATAAGAAGGTCCACAGGATTGTCTCAAATTGGATGCTTCCTGAACATGCCCGAAGAACATACCTGGAGAGAGCTAACTGCCTCCCACCCCCGCTGTTCATCATCTCCATCAGTCTGGCCGAGGTGAATACGTCAGGTGGTGGGCACCAGTGCACGTACCACTGGGGAGCGGCAGACAAACTGGGGGTTTAGGTTAGACACAGATCAGACTAGAAAGCATGTAAGAAGAGAGTGAGGTGGTGGCAAGTACAGCACACACAGGACACAACCGCACCCTCTCCATCCCCCTTCCCGGCTTTTCCTATGTTCCTAGTCACTTCCAGCCAAGCATTGAGCTTTATTTTTCAAACAAGGTCCCTGCCCAGCAGTGACTACAATTTCAGTGGCTTCATTTCATTTTAGTTGGTGGAGGAAGTCGGATAAGACCACATTTAAATGGTCAGATACACAGCAGGTAAAGTTAATTCCTGTCATCTTTTTGAGCACGTGGTATGAAGTGGCCAATGGGAGAGCTAACCATTGGAAACAAAGGTGGTGCCCACAGGCTCTAAAGGGGCCTCTGAGAAGGCGAGGTTAACACTCATGTCTGCCCTCCCTGACAGCTGGCAGTGTTTATTTACTATGCCGTGTGGAAGCCTCAGAAACAGTGGATCACCTTGGACATGGGCATCTTGGAGAGTCCGTTTATCTACGATCCTAAGAAGAGGGAGGAGGCCTGGAGGTTTATCTCATACATGCTGGTACATGCCGGGTAAGGAATGATAGTTAAGTCACTGCAGTCAGAGGTGTAACCCCTAACTTTTGTTCAGAGCTTTATTACTGACCAGAGGTCTGGTGCACGAAATTTGTGCACTGGGGAAGGGGTGGGGTCTCTCAGCCCGGCCTGTGCCCTCTCCCAGTCCAGGACACCCAGGGATTGGGGATTGGGCCTAAGCCAGCAGTTGGACATTCCTCTCACAGTCCTGATCCCTCTCGCAGTCTGGGACCCCACGCTCCTTACTGCCTGCCTGCTTGCTGCTCTTTACCGCTCAGCTAGCTGTTCCTTAGTGCTTCTGCAGAGGCGGAAGAAGCTCTGCCACCACCAGCTTCTAGCTGAGCAGTGCTCCCCCCGTGGGAGCAAACTGACCATCAGGGGCAGCTCCTGTTTTGAGCGTCTATTCCTTGGTGGTGAGTGTGCATCATAGCGACCGGTCATTCCATTCCGCTGGTCATTCTGCCGTTTGGTTGATTTGCATATTAGAGTTTTATTATATACAATAAGGCACTTTCATGTCCATAATCTTGCATGATCATCAGAGAACCCCTAGGAGGTAAGTGTTGCTCCCACTGTTTTATGTTTGAGGCTGAGGGTTAGGGTCACTTGCTCTTGTTACACAGCTAAGTTGTAGAGCTAGGACCTCAACCCATTAATGCTAACTGCAGGCCCATTGTACTTTATATTACATTATAACTGCCTAATATTGGTATGTATTGTATATGGGAATATTAATAAGAAGAGATCAAATCTTTACCAGACCAAAATTATGTTCCCCTGGTTATTTGATGTTGTTGAATGTTCCCTTTAGAAACTAAATATGAAGCATCCCTCCCAATTTTTCTGCTCCACCACATGCTTAAAAAAATAATTCACGGACCTGATGAATCTATAATACTGTTATCCACCTGGAATAATATAAGCCACATGAGCTGCAGTGCCTGGCTTTTAGTTTTGCTTATAGTTTCTTCTTTAAAAAATTCTTTATTATTGTAAGTATTATATATGTCCTCTTCTGTCTCCCCTGCTCCCCCATTGTCCTCTCCCAGCCTGTCCCCACCCTCCAGTCCTGACCTTCACCCATTGTCTGTGTCCATTGGTTATGCCTACATGCATACAAGTTCTTTGGTTGATCTCTTTCCCACAAGTCTCCCCCGGCCCACCCTCCTGCTTATAGTTTCTTAAGTGCTAATAGCCTTCTATGACCCCACTCAGAATCCACGATTCACCATGTCCACTGCAGACTTGGTGAACTGAAAAGCGTGCTACTTCCCCCACCTCTCTGGTGGATCCTGGGATTACAGATGAGGCCAGCTTTGTCTAAGAGACCTACATAGCCCTGAACCTTGAAGGAAGATTCTTGTCTTTGACCAAATAGGCAGCTATGGCAGGACACAGGGCCCAGAGACTGGACATCAGGGACAAAATCATCAACTGCTCAGTTTTTGTGGACACTTTGGTTTTTCATTTAACAAGTATGTTCTGAGCATATGTGGCTTCTGCACTCAATGACTTTAAAATGACAAGGAAGCAGTTAACTGATAATGCAAGGCAGTGTAGAATTATAGTATATAGTAGTTACTTAATCTCTTTGCACCTCAGTTTCCACATCTGTAAAATGGGGTAATAGTACCTACCTCAGAAGGTTGCTGTGATTAAATAAGACAATTGTTATAACAATTTTTATAGTGCTGGACACATACTAACCATTCAAAAAAATTTACATGTAGGACATGTAACATATGGGGTTGCCTAAATCCTTTTATATGTAAGTAACAATAATAATCTAATAGGACTTCAATAAATGGAGGCCAATGTTTTCCCATACAAAAAGCTCAGAGGTAGGTAGTTGGTTCATCAGTTTAATGAAGCCAGAACACTAGGTCCTGTGCTGGCACCTCTGCTTTTTCCTTGGCCTTTCTCTCATGGTTGCAAGTTGACTACTGTAGTCCGCATTCAAAGCAGGAAGGGGGAAGAGGTAACACCAGGCACTGGTGAAATCATCCCTTTTTTCAAGACAGAAGTGCTCTAAGTCTCCTGGCTGTGCTGCTTTTATTTACATCTCACTGACCAGAGTTATGTGTCCCTACCTAAGAGAAGCTGGGAAAACCCTAACTGGTTTGGCTCAGTGGATAGAGCATTGGCCTGCGGACACAAGGGTCCCAGGTTTGATTCCGCTCAAGGGCATGTACCTTGGTTGCAGGCACAACCCCAGTAGCGGGTGTGCAAGGAGGCAGCTGATTGATATTTCTCTCTCATCAATGTTTCTGACTCCCTTTCCCTTCCTCTCTGTAAAAAATCAAATATATATAGAGCAAGGTTGGGAAAGTTAACAAAAGCTTTTCCAGCCTCAGTAGAGGAGGTAGAGAAGGGATAGGGAAAGAGTGTTGGGTAAGCTACACTAATATAAACGGAAAGAGGGAAAGATCAGAATGGGGATGGCTTCACACATGAATGACATGGATCCTAGTTGGGCCTTGAAGGTGGATGAAATTTGGAATAAAAAATTGATATTTCATCCTAGCTCATTTGGCTCAGTGGGTAGAGCATCGGCCTGTAGACCAAAGGGTCGTGGGTTTGATTCTGGTCAAGGGCAAATACCTCGGTTGCAGGCTCCTCCCCAGCCCAGGCCTGATCAGGGCTCATGCAGGAGGCAACCAATGGTTGTGCTTCTCTCACATGGATGTTTCTCTCTGTCCTTCCCTCACTCTTCCACTCTCTCTAAAAACAAATGGAAAAATAAAATATCCTGGGGTGAGGATTTTAAAAAATTAGTATTTCTATTTTGGGAATATGACAGGATCTCATCTTTCTGCTACTTCTACTCTTGATGTTGAGTAGAAGGAAGAGTATTTGGGGTGATTCATTCGGGTCTTTGTGCTATTGGTCATCTTATCTTCTAGCTATTGCCAGAGGACAGGAATGGTATGGCTTTCTTTGACCTCGTTCAGATTGACAAAGTGCATATACTTCCAAATCTCCTTTATATCTGAGGTCTCCATAAGACTAGTGTAACTGCTATTGCTCGACAGTTCTGTGCTGAGCTATGTTGCCTCTCATATGTCTTTGAAGATGGCTTGCACAGTGATGGTTGGGGCTGGCTGTGCTTGTGGCCATAAAGGTAAGTTTTCTGTTCTGCTAGATATGCCCAGAAAACCTGTTCAATGGCCTGATGGATTTTTTTAAAGTAAATTATAATGTAAAACACACTCCCTAATACTAATGCAAAAGCTGTTGCACTTTGTGGAAGATCCAATAGCTATTATTATTATTATTATTATTATTTTGCTTTATCTGAAATATTTGAGAAAAAAAAAGGCATTGTGCTACATAGCAACTTGACTAAATAAATTGACTAAATTGATGATTATGGTAATATAAGAATTTATCAAATTATATTCAGAGATTATCCAGAGATGCTTGTGGGGTTTGACAAGCAAAATGATATGAAATGTATTTAAAAATATTTTTACCTATTTAAAAACTATAATAAGAAAACACCTGTACTCTAATGTGTTCTGCCAAATTGTGATACATGGTAGATACCAACTTTATTTATTATTATTATTTTTTAATATACTTTATCGAGTTTTTACAGAGAGGAAGAGAGAGGAATAGAGAGTTAGAAACATCGATGAGAGAGAAACATCGTTCAGCTACCTCTTACACACCCCCTACTGGGGATGTGCCCACAACCAAGGAATTGAACCTGGGACCTTTCAGTCTGCAGGCTGACGCTCTATCCACTGAGCCAAACTGGTTTCAGTCCAACTTTAGCTAAGTAATTCCCCCTATTCTGGTTAGCTTTTATTTTTATTGATTTCATTTACTTTTATTATTTTTAAAAAAATTTTTCTTCATTGATTTCAGAGAGGAAGGGAGAGGGAGAGAGACAGAAACATCAATGATGAATAATTGATTGGCTGCCTCCTGCACGGCCCCTCCTGGGGACCCAGCCCACAACCCAGGCATGTGCCCTTGACTGGAATCGAACCTGGGACACTCTATCCACTGAGCCTAATCCGCCAGGGCTATTTTTAATGATTTTAGAGAGGAAGGGAGAGGGAGAGAGAGATAGAAACATCAATGATGAGAGAGAATCATTGATTGCTGCCTCCTACATGTCCCCTTCGGGGGATCGAGCCTGCTGCCCAGGCATGTGCTCTTTACAGAAATTGAACCGGAGACCCTTCAGTCCTCAGGCTGACACTATTCACTGAGCCAAACTAGCGGGGTCTCATTAGCTTTTTTTTTTTTTTTTTTTAATATATTTTATTGATTTTTTACAGCGAGGAAGAGAGGGATAGAGAGTTAGAAACATCGATGAGAGAAACATTGACCAACTGCCTCCTGCACCCCCCACCACCGGGGATTCGCCAGCAACTAAGGTACATGCCCTTGACCGGAATGACCCTTCAGTCCACAGGCCAACACTATCCACTGAGCCAAACTGGTTTCGGCTCGTTAGCTTTTAAAAAAACCATTTTAATGCAGTCTTGGGAATGAAGTTCCTCTTGCCAGCTCTGTTTTATTAAAGAATATACTGAGATTGCAAGATACATTGCTTAACAGCCTACTGAAATTTAAACTCAATATGAATGAATTAGGTTTCCTCCATACTGTGCAAGTGAAACAAAATCAGAGGCTGAGCTGACCTAATTTGGCAATTGTCATCTAAACCTAATTTCAAATTCATGTTCTTTAGGCCGGCCTTATTGCTCTCTGATTTTATCAGTAATTGTTATAATAAAACAGACCTTATAAAATAAATGTATACTTCTAAAATGCCCTTTTACTTGCTAAAATAATTAGAATTTGGAATTTGAGTTAAGCAAGTCTTTAACTGGAAACACCACTTCAATGCCTATTTATCTCCCAAGGAAATAACTGCCTATCTCAGTCATGATATTTGACACGTGTGTTTGTCTCTGCAGAGTTCAGCACATCTTGGGGAATCTTATTATGCAGCTCGTTTTGGGTATTCCCTTGGAAATGGTCCACAAAGGCCTCCGAGTGGGGCTGGTGTATCTGGCAGGAGTGATCGCAGGTTAGTGTTTTCAGGGCAACAAGAAATCAACACCTCTGGACTCTCAGGAGGTTATAAACAAAATAAAGGTAATCAACTTTGATAATGGGCTTTTTAATTAAGATGTATTCTATTCCTAATAGATGCTAGGAAACCTGATAGCACTGGAGATAAGTCAATTAGAGACAGAAGAGATAAGGTAATCACATAGAAATGACATTGTGAGTGCCCTCAGGTGTCGCACAGACAGGGTTTTGCACATTTGGAAACTGAATAGATCGATGCCCAGGTGCATATACTGGGTAAAGGCTTACAGCCAGTTCAGGAAGGCCCTTATGTGCTCTTGTAAAGACTTTGGGAAGTAACATGATCAGATTTGCTTTTGAGAAAGGTAACTTCAAGAGAATGCAGAGAATAAAGGGGTCTAAAGACAGAGTGGGAACTAGGAGCATACAGCAGTGTCTTCTAAAATTGTGTGTGTACCCAAGATGATTCATTATGGTGTGGGCAGAAAATATTAGAACTCCCATCCATCCATTATTTATTTGTTGGAAACATTAAAAAAATAAATTTTTCATTTTGAGGTATTGATTTATGCTTTAGTGTAAGAAATAAAAACCTAGAGGTCCATGAATCATTTAACCAGCTACCCCCAATGGGTAACAGCTTGCAAAACTATAGTACAGTACCACCATCAGGATATCCACACTGATAAGAGTCAAGGTATAAAACATTTCCAACACCATAAGCTATACTCTCTTCCCTCCCACTTGACACTCTCCTTTATCCCTGGCAACCATGAATCTATTTTGTATTTCTACAGAGGTGGGCAAAAGTAGGTTTATAGTAGTAATACAAATAAATAATCTATATATATAAAAGCCTCGCAACTATTGTAGAATGGCAGAATGACCAGAATGGTGGCTAAGATGCACTCTGTGGCAGCCAAGTAGCCTGATCTGAGCCCCGATTGGTGCGGTGCGCCCCCATCCCCTCCAGCTGGCCCGGCCCTGATCAGTCCCCAATACCCTGATCGGGGATGGAGCTGGCCACCAACCGCCCAAGGCCCCTCCTTCTGATCAGTCCCTCCCATGCAGATTGGAGGCAAGGCCTGCTGGCCAACTGCCTGTGGCCCCTCCTCCCTGCTGGCCCAGTCCAATGGGCCCCCACTGGGGCAGGTCTACTGGACCCCACCCATGCATGAATTCGTCCACTGAGCCTCTAGTATAAGTAATAAATAAAAATACAAGAATAAAGTATTTCATGTACTCAAAACTAAACCTGCTTTTGTCCACCCCTGTGTAATTTTCTCATTTTAAGAATGTTACATAAATGGAATAATATGATAGGTAGCCTTTTGAGATTGGCCTTCTTTACTCAGTATAATTCTCTGGATATTCATGTAGGTTGTTGCATGTATTAATAGTTCATTCATTTTTATTGCTGAGTAGTAGTCTACCACCCACCCTTCAGTCACGGATGATATCTGGGTTGTTCCCAGTTTTTGACGATTACAAATAAAGCCGTTATATACATTTGTGGACAGGTTTTGTGAACATAAGCACAGAGTTTTGTGAACATGAGTTTTCATTTCTCTAAGATAAATGTCCAAGAGCACAGATGCTGGGTTGCATGGCAGTTGCATATTTAGTTTTGTAAGAACCAGCCAACATATTTTCCAGAATGGCTGTTCCATTTTGTGTTTCTCCCAGAATTGTATAAATGATTCAGTTTTCCACATTCTTCCATGAATTCAGTGTTGTTACTATTTTTTATTTTGGCTGTAGTGATATTTCTTCACAGTTTTAATTAGTATTTCTCTAGTGGCTAACAATGCTGAACATCTTTTCATATACTTATTTGCCATTTGTATCTCCTCTTTAGTGAAATTGTCTGTTCATGTCTTTTGCCCATTTTCTAATTAGATATTTTTTCCTGTTGAATTTTTAAGAGTTCTTTATATATTCTAGATCCTAGTCCTTTATTGAATATGTAGCTTACAGGTATTTTCTCTCAGTTTGTAACTTGTCTTTTGTCTTAACATAAGGAGTCTTTCACAGTGCAAAAGATTTCAATATTGATAAAGTCTAATTTATAAATTTTTCTTGGTTTATGAATCGTTCTTTTGGTGTTATGGCTAAGAACTTTTTACTGAGCCCTAGGTCTTGCATGTTTTCTCCTATGTTATCTTTTAAAGTTATGGTTTTATGGTTTACATTTAAATATGTGATCTATTTGAGTTTGTTAATTTTTATAAAAATTGTGAGGTTTAGATTTAGGTTCTTTCTGTTTGTTTATTTGCATATGAATATCCAATTACTTCAGAACAATCTGTTGAAAAGATTATTCTTCCTTCATTGAATGGCTTTTGCATCTTTGTCAAAAGTCAGTTGGCTGTAGTTGTGTGTGACTGTTTCTGGGTTCTCCTTTTTGTATCACTGATCAATGTGTCTATCCCACCACATACCCAGTACCACTGCTGCTATATATAATAAGTCTTGAAATCAGTTAGAGTGATTCCTCTCATTTTATTCTCATTTGAAAAATTAGTGTTTGTATCTTACTTAAAAAAAAAGTGTCAGGTTTCTAATTTGCTGGCTTTTTGTCCCTTACCCCCCCCCCCCCACCGCCCCATGAAAGTAAAAGGCTATAGTAGTAAGTCATCTAACAGATGTTGAAAAAAACAAACACCAAACGTGTCTCTATGATGATATTAATATCAGTTTTCTCCTAAGGAATAAGAATGTAACTGCTTTTCCAGAAATAGTTGTGCTATGAAAGGGCATTTTGAAAACTGGTCATTGGAAATCGCTAGATATTTATGTAATTTTGCTTCTGAAAATGATGCAACAACTCTTATAAGTTCACATTTAAAAAGTGAGGAAACGATTTCCTAATCTGTTTTAACGTTTTTCAGTAAGGAGTTTTAGTGCATTTTAAACTTATTTATTAAAACACTTACTAGCGCCGAAACCGGTTTGGCTCAGTGGATAGAGCATCAGCTTGCGGACTGAAAGGTCCCAGGTTCGATTCCGGTCAAGGCCATGTACCTTGGTTGTGGGCACATTCACAGGGGGGGTTTGCAGGAGGCAACTGATCGACGTTTCTAACTCTCTATCCCTCTCCCTTCCTTTCTGTGAAAAAAAAAAAAAAATCAATAAAATATATTAAACAAACGAACAAACAAACAAACAAAACCACTTACTAGTTTGGAAGAACTAATTAATAACATTAGGGAAGGTGGGAATTAATAGCCAAAATTACAACAAAAATTTTGCATAATTGAAGCTCAGCCAATGATGCAATTCTTCCATTTTAAATTACATGTCATTAAAAAAAAAAAAGTTATTTTTTGGCTATGACAGTGATTAAGAGGAAATTTCTATAGAAAAATAGCTGAATTTAGAAGTATATGTACTCACTCCTCCCTCCCCGCCTTAATCACAGGGAAAATGTTTCAAGATCCCAGTGGATGCCTAAAATAATGGATAGTACCAAATCATATGTGTACTGCTTTTTTTCTATACATACATACCTATGATAAACTTTTAATTTACAAATTAGGCGCAATAAGAGATTCAACAATAATTAATAATGAAATACAACAACTATAACAATGTCCTGTAGTAAAAGTTAAGAGAATGTGGTCTCTTTCAAAATATATTGTACTGTATGTACAGTGTGGATACACTGGACAAAGGCATGATTCACATCTTGGGCTGGATGGAGCAGAATGGCATGAGATTTCATCATGTTACCCAGAATGGCACTTGATTTAAAACTTAAGAACTGTTTACTTCTGGGATTTTCCATTTAACATTTTTGAACTGTGGGTAACTGAAACCGTGGAAAGTGAAATCATACATAAGGGGAGGGGGGGAACTACTGTATCTGTATTTCTGTGTCATGATATTTAACCAGGATTTTAAAAAGTAGTGAAGCTTATTTAATAACTTCATTGAAACATTTTCAAAAATTAAAGACATTTTTAAAAATGTATATTTTTATTTATTTCAGAAAGGAAAGGAGAAGGATAGAGAGACAGAAACATCAATGAGAGAGAATCATTGATGTGCTCCCTCCTACATGCCCCACACTGGGGATTGAGTCCACAACCTGAGCATGTGCCCTGACTGGGAATTGAACTGTGACCTCCTGGTTCATAGATTGATGCTCAACCACCGAGCCATAACAGTTAGGCTAATGAAATTTTTTAGAGCAGTTTTAGGTTCACAGAAAAATTGAGAGGAAGGTACAAAGATTTCCCAAACACCCTGTCTCCTATACACATGCATAGCTTCCTCCATTTTCAACATTCCCCAACAAAGTGGTGCATCCTATATAATAAAAGCCCAATAGGCTAAGTGTCTGGTAGATCGATCGGCCGTTCAACCAATCAAAGTGTAATATGCTAATGCTATGCTAAGACTGCTCAACTGCTCGCTATGATGTGCACTGACCACCTGGGGGCAGATAGTCAACCAGTTGACCAGTTGTTATGATGTGCATTGAATACCAGGGGGCAGATGCTGGGACTGATAGGTTAGCTTGCTGCTGGGGTCTGGCCGATCGGGACTGACTGAGGGAGATGGGTGGGATATGCCCTGTAGCCCGCCTGCGGTCCCTCCCTGGCTGGCCAACCTCTCCTGTCTTTCCCCTGTGGGGTTCCTTGGCCTGGCCTGCGCCCTCTTGCAATCTGGGACTCCTCAGGGGATGTTGGAGAGCCGGTTTCGGCCCGATCCTGTAGACCAGGCCAAGGGTGCACAAATTTGTGCACTGGGCCTCTAGTTCCTTATAATTGATGAACTTACATTGACACAACATAATCACCCAAGTGCATAAAATTAGAGTTCACTCTTATGGTACATTCTGTGGTTTTGGACAAATACTGACATGTATCAATCCCAGTATTGCACAGAGTATTTTCACTGCCCTAAAGCCTGTGCTCTATCTATTCATCCTTTCCCCCACCCACAACTCCTGGCAGCCATTGATTTATTTACTGTCTTTACTGTCTCCAT